GTGAACATCACGCAGGGTCATCATCATATCCCTCGTCGCAGACCAGACTCGTACCAGAGTCGCCTAACCTGCCAGTGGATCCCCTCTCGAGGAGAATGACTCAGTCTTCTCGAATGGCATATGAAGAAGAGATCGCGCGGTTACGACAAGAGGTTTTGTCCCAGACAAATCGTGTGAGGTACATGGATGAGCAGATGGAATTCTTGCACATTGGATCCCCACCACCATCTTACCGTTCACGTTCCTCACTTAGAAGTGCCATTTCACGGATGTCTGGTTCTTCGCCGCCACCATTACCTTCGCGGGAGATTAGCCACTGATGCAGCCTCGTTGGATAGAAGTTATTATTTTATTGCGAGCGAGTAAAATTTGCTACCATTGGGAGACCCCGGTCCGGTTTATTATGCCAGGGCGGGAAATATACCATCTTATTATTTATTAACGTTATAAGTCATCGATGCCTGCAGAAAAATGCCTTGTCGGTCGTCTCATAAGACGTTGTGCAGCAGTCGAAGAGTCTGACACACAAGTTTGAGCCACCTTGCTGAGCGCGCGCGCCGAAAGAGTGTCAAGAGGGCGCAAAGAAGGTATGTCAGCTTCAGAGAACTAATAGCCAGCGAAAGATACTCTGAGGAATGGTTGGAAAGCCTCTTACGACGAGAGTAGACATTGAAGCATATTAGCAGCATACATGGTTGGGGACGTTCAACGCGGCACGATGCACTCCTTCACAAGGTCCTTGCGAGAATAGTGACGGCGGCAGCTACAATCCAGAATGAATTAACTCTCAAACAACAGTAAAGTCGTTATCCACGCTCATCCCAGCCGGTCCTCAAAGTCATCCCGTGAAAAGATGGTTCGTTTCTTGGTCTGCTTTACCCGATCGTCTTTGAGCATTCTGATTTCAAAGTCAGAGGTAGCGCCAGCGAGATATCCAAGCAAGCGCACCTAGCATCCACCCTAGCATCGTCACCCTCTACACCGACGATAGCTTGCGGCGTCTTTGCCTCAATAACCTACTCCCAATCAGCCAGTCCGTAATCCATGAAATGCAAACGTACATAATGGTTATCACAATGCGGACAGAACTCGTCGCTCTCCTCGTAATTTGCCATGTCCTTACGGAAAGCCTTCTTGCATTTTTTGCATATGAACGCCATCTCGGTCGTCCGCACTAGTGGATGCGTCTCGGATTCTGCGTGGCACTCGGCACAGTCGAACCATTTCTTGCAGCAGGGGGCTCGGATGGAAACTTGAGCGTTTAGAACGTGTTTGCTGACGACGAGAGGTGTAAGACAGTAGGTGCACACTGGGCGAAGGGCACTGACCACATCGTAAGAAGATAAGAACCAAAGGATGGTGGTAGTCACCGAACAAAGCGTGACTGCAAGCAAGGCTCAAGATGATCTACTACGATTTGTTCTTATTATTTACATGAACGCAAGTACGTAAATTATGCATATGAGAGTGGGGTGCAAGAGACATGGTAGCATTGCATGCCTGTAAGATGGTACAAAAAACTGGCTATGTGTTTACTCTTGGTAAGGGTAAGCTAGCTTGGGGGCATCCTTGCGCCGCCACAACTTCTTCCTATAGATAATGGGATGGCTTAGAAATTGCCCACGAAACAAGTGCACAGTACTGACTTTTTCTTAGTAGGGAGATGTTCAGCAAAAATTTCAACGCAATACTTGGCTTTGAATTCACGAATGAATCGAGGATCCCTAGATAGCGTTGCGTTAAAAGTTGAGTATATCTAATCATAAAAAGCGTACCAAAGTTCGCTAGCGATTCCCAAATCCTTGCAGCAGCGCATCAAGGCATTGCTTTTGCACGCTTCGGTAGCCGTGGGGACTCCATTGACGTCGAAATACTCCTGCTCACCTCTGGCGATGGCGACAAGACTGAATGAAAATATTGAGACAACTTACCCCCAGAAGAAGAGAGATGTACGCACCGTCCTTGGCACACAAGAGCGTATTCTCGGCTGACAATTTTCGCGCTGACATTAGTTTCAGAACGAGGTGCCAAACCCCATGCACCAGGACCGAATGCCCTATTCAGAATACGCCGGTATTTGATTTCAGGGAGGTAAATAAGGCCATCTGTTGGAATGTAGATGAGCAGACGCGCAACAAAAAATGACAAACAAGTCACCTGGTTTGCATTCAATGTCGAGAGGATCCACGGGCGCAAGGAGGATATCGGCGGCTTCTTTAGGGAAAGCCTGCTGCGAAAGACCATAGTAACTCTTGGACCAATCAGTGTGGCCTTCCTTCTCGCCACCAAAGGGCACTGGACCGTCGTTCGGCTGTGGGATCTCTGCCTCCCCGTCTTCACTCGCAGTCGCAAAACCAGCGAACCTGGGAGCTCGCAGAGCAGTCCTTGACAAGGCAAGCGACGGCCTAACACCCAGTCCTCGAAGTGAGCGCGACTGGTTAGCCAAAACGCTCCGGACGAGGCTGGCCATTGTGGTACTGTTGAGACAGAGTTTCTAATTTTGAAATCCAGGAAAGTGCGGATTTCGGACCCTAACCCTATATCTGTCACGTGATGCAGACGCGAAACCCTGAATTGGACAAGTTAACAAACAGATGCCCACAAAGGCAGCGCTTTCGAGACAAATTTCAACTTATCAAATTCGCACTCAACCTCCACATTCGACCTCATGAAACATGGATGATCAGTTAACAAACATACGAACCCTTATACAAGACTCTCTGGACGATGCAAGTGCTCCCTTTCTGCTCCAATGACAGCTTGCTGACTTTTGAGTTTGATAGATTTTGTCCCCTCGTACGGCTGCTCCGAGTAAAACGACGGCCCTGCAGCGCCTAGAGTGTCAACTGTCGATCTGTGTTCAGAAGGAATCAGAAATCCTCGACTTTTTCGTGGCTTTACAGCACACTTTTGAGTGTAATGGTGGGTATCATGTTGGTCTGCGTCCTTCTTATCGGCTGACCTGTATACAGTACCACTCCGATTAATACCATGGATAGCAGAAGTTGCAACTAAACTTCAAAACCTCTTAAACAGGGGAGCACCTGAAGGTTCGGCATTTCTATCGTCTTACCCAGTTCGTTACCGATGACAAGAACAGATAGCGATAGCGTCCAAATATCACAACTCTTGGACCAGCTCTCACTCTCCTTGTCTCTTATTCAAGGCATCGTCATGTTACACCCCTCCAGCAAAACGTATCTGGGTCGGAAATATCCCGTGGAGGTGTGTCGCCACTGGAGAGTTTGATGGTAATTAAATCTGACAGGTATTGAAAGATACTCATTGATCTGCTCTTGACTTCGCGCCATGCGCCTTGTCCATCTGATCCAAACACGTCCGGCTCTCTTAAAACCCGAGAATCGCAGGCGCCACTGTCTTCCATTGTCATGGATGCTCTCCTTTGCATACTAGTGGACTCCTCTGCTGCTCTGCGCTCGTTTGAAGCGTGCAATGGAGTCCAGGCTATCGTTAAAATCCTCAAACGCGCTGGGACTCCTCGTGAAGTTAGGTATGTCATCTCCGCGTGGTCGGTGGCAGGTATTTGACATTTGACCATTAGAATGAAATGCTTGGAATTCTTGTACTTCTACCTGCTCGACGAGAGTCCTTCTGCAGAGGATGGTGCTTTGAAGCATCCAACACTGGTGCCGCTCATCACCACTGCTCCGGCGACACCTGTTGCTTCGACGTCCTTGCGACCAAAAAAACCATATATTAACGTGACACCAACGCGTCCAATATCGCGTTACGGCTCCTCCACTTACTCCTTCTCATCTGGTTCTGGGAGCGCAGTATCTACCTCTCCATCTGGGTTCACAGCGAGCTCTGGAAGCACAACCCTCTCTGCGAGCTCCAGCACCTTCTCTTCAGGTCAAACGTCCCGGTCGACGTCGGCTAGCTCTGCTAAATCATTTTCATCAACGTCGTCTGTTGCCTCAGCCTCGACTGCCGCGTCTTCTGTACAGTCATCTCCAACAAAGACGACGGCGGATCCTTTGCCTATACCAAAGCCGCTGGCTAACGCCCCTTCGCCGGTGTTCAGGCCGAAGTCTCTGCACATGTTGCAGCGGGACCTCGATTTCGTGCCTGAGAGCCCGCATAGGTCCACAGCGAGCTCTGTTGCAAACACGAGCCTCTTGCGACCTCAGCCCGGGAAAAGTGCGTCTCAATCAAGTACAAGATCCCGATTGGGATCAGCCTTTGCTCTTGACACGAGTCCCAAGACGATGGGGGCTGTAGAAAGGATTCGGACGACCGAGGAAAAGAAGGAAATCCTTGGTACGATGCTGGGGAATGTCGATGCGTTGGTTGAAGGTGTTCGGAAAGCGGGGGTTTGGGGGCTAGGTTAGGTTATGCGTCGATTAGATATACGTACCGCATTTGAGATACCCCTTCATCCGGAATAATTCATGGACAAGAAATCACTGAAGAGAAAAGTAAGAGCATTAACGTGATTATAAACACACTGTATGATTCCTGCCATGCACCCAACTGCCACACTTGTTCTACTTTTTCCCCGTAGCAACTTTTGTAATCGCAGCATCCATGAGCCCTTTCTCCTCTTCCTCCGTCAGATGCCCAGCATTCACCCTCGCCAGTGATGTCGCGCGCGACTTGACTTCGTCATCGAGGTCTTCGAACTCGTCTTGTTTCACAGCGTATATTGAATACGAGTATACCCCCACGGCGAATACACCCAAGACGAACCCCGTCAGAGCGTTGGGTATACGAAAGGGTTCGCGCGCGCGTTTGAGCCCGGGGGACATGGCCTGTGTTCGAACCTTGAGGAACTGGAGAAGATACAAGCTGAGATGGAACGTACCCCAGCTTTGGGTCTGTATGATTTGGCGACTTTGCGCGGGTCAACGTATCGTTTTGACCAGCCTTCCATGGCTGAAGGTCGTGGCGGATAGGAATCAAAGAAACGGTTTGACAAATGGTAATAAAGTGAAAGGGTAAAGAGTGGATCTGAGTTTGACATGATATCATTTGCGCATGACTCCATAGCTAAGTGGTTATAGCATGAGATTGCAGTTAGGAGTTCCACGCTATAACTAATCTCGGGGTCGCGTGTTCGAGTCACGCTGGGGTCTCTTTTTGGTGACTGTTACTCGAGACTCAAGAGACAATCTTTTGTTTTCTCTGTTCTAAGTTCTAACTCTTGGCACAAACTGGACTTTTTAGCAATTGTCTGTTTACTACGGTCTACTAGGATAGGAGCCAGGAACCAAGTAAGTGAACTTACGATCACATATGTTGGCGGTGACCGGTCCAGTCCGATATCAGGGTGTAGGTTTAACTTTGCTTTCAGCTCGGCGTACCGCTAATTTAGCAAGAAATAGTTGGAGACTGCTCGTTACTTTTGGGTTTTTCAAACATCTTTGGTTGTGACAGAGGATCAAATCGATCAAACCACCGCATCCATAGCCCTGCGGCCACTGTGGAGGGTAGGACATCGCTTTGTCTGACTCGCACCTTGATGTGTCCGACCATGGCTCTCCCTCAAGATATACTGGAAGAAATATTAAGCCATCTCCGCTTCGATCTCCCCTCGCTCAAGGCCTGCTCATTGACCCATCCCTCCTTTCTTCTTCCGAGCAGCAGGCTCCTTTTTGCGAAAATACGGGTCCGGGATTCTCATGGACCTCCAACGGATATCTGCCTCGAGCTCCGAAAAGCCCTCGTTGCGTCAAAGCATATGACGGCATCGATTCGTTCTCTCATTTTGCACTTCGTTTGGTCTCCAAAAGAGAACGGCACCGGCATCTTTCCGTCCCTACTGCAGCTCCTCCCTAACCTCCAAAGGCTCTCCATACACTTGGCACGGGGAAACGTTTCCATATTCAACGCTGACTCGTTTCCTTCGCCTCATTCAATTTCTAGCGTTCGAACTCTTACCTTGGAAAAGATAGGGTTTGACACCGCCTCTCAACTATATTCCCTACTGGCCAACTTTAATAACCTTGAGGACATCAGTATGGATGTAATTCGGATCGATGACACCAATGCCACAACCAATTTAGTACCAAGCCGTCAAAGTTGTTTCCCTTCCACATTAGAACTCAATCTGGATGGGCCCGTCATAGAAACTCTGCTCTCCCCACACTCCACAGTATCCATGGCGAACCTCCGCGTTCTCACCATCTATGCAGACTCCGACCAGGACGTTAAAGCCACCTCGTCTATACTCTCGGTCAGCTCCTCTTTGCAGGTTTTAACACTACTCCTCCCGATCACAGAATCTCGTGAATCTCGTAAGTTGCGTCTTCTTTTGGCTCATTCACTGATGGTATATCCCTTCATAGACCTCATAGATTTAAGGCCCCTGAGCCAACTTCGCAGCATCTGCACCAGCCTCTACTTTGACAGTGAATGGACTTCCATTGATAAGATTCCATCTGATTGGCGAGGGCCTTTTTCATGGGCGCACCCGTTCTTCAAGAGACTTCCTTCGTCCGTGGAAGACATCATTCTTGAGGTGGTTTTTTGCCCATACGATGCCTTCCTTTTGCCTCATTTTCGATCGGATTGGCAAGAGCTAGATCGTATTCTTGCTAACCATCCATGGAAATTTTCCGTACGACTCGAGATATATGTTGATTATCACTTCGAAGATCCTGGTATCGAAGACTACTGTTACCATGAGTGGTCCGAAAGGCCCGGTGATCTCCAAGAACATTTTCGAAATTTCTTGCATCATGAAGGCCTACCCGAAACGAATAGGAAGGGGTGCTTGCATTACGAAATTAGGAAAAGCGCGTTGGCTTCCTTCAATACTAATCTTGGACTAACGGATTTACATTTAGGACCGATGACATACTCCATCCGATGAAGGCACTTGTCCTTTTCGAACAGTGCATATTGTCACTGAACTTGATCAGGAGGTGCTATGTCCGAGAAGATTTTGATAATACTTCAAAAAGTTTTGACGGTGACTTCATTAGTACATTACACTCATAGAAGATACAATAGTATCTAAGTATCACGGAATCAAAACCAAACCGAAGCTTTGAAAACTCTTTCTGATCAAGGTAAGTTTCTTGGAGACAATTCACGAACGAAGACAAAAGAAAACATAGGGATATCTTGACGAGAATTTTAACTTTTCGAGCTTCATGCAGCACATGTATTAAATTAAGTCAGGTTCAACTTCAGTTCAACGAACGACTTGCGCGGCTGCGTGCCACGCACCACGCAGGTGACCACGCAGAATTTCTAGTGCCCTGTTTGTGTAGGTAAATTTTCTCGGTGCGCTCCAGCCAAGCCATGATAGCGGTCAAGATAAGTGGCTCGTCCGTCTTCACATCCTCGCTTGACCCCGTAAATCGAGAGACGCCCAACTCGACTAATATGGAATCTTTCGCTGAGAGCACGGGTAGAGGCTTTCCTGTCAGCACATAGTCTGCCAGATTCGGTTTGAGGACATCCTCAAATTGCTCTACAGATGGTCAGGACCCGGATCCTGGCAAGATAGAAAAGTTGTACTTAATTTGGCCAGACGCCCAACGTCGAGTACGCTGAGAACCTTCCAGATACCCGAATCAGGCAACGGCGGCTCCAGCTTGGTGAGGTCATTCGCGTCTCCTGGTTCAAAGTCGTCACCACAAAACACCTTTATATACCGATTTAGCACTGTGTGTGGGCACTTAAATCCGGTTACTATCAAAAGTTCCACCAAGGTAGCAGTGAGGCGGAATCTAAGAGTCACAATGGTAAGAAAAAGTAATGGGACATGGTAGGATCATCACATGCCTTCCCCTTGTCCACACAAAGACGCGCTCCAAGAAATCTGAGAGTTTGTTATGTAACCCGGGTGGTGCGAACTTCTTGATATATCTGGCTTGTATATCAGCATTCTCAAAAGCGCCAATTTCCGAATGTCGATAGAAATCGGCGCCGGGCTTCAGCAAGCTCGATGCAGGGTGTTCCACCATCACCTGGATGTTAGTACCTGTCCCTGATAGGGACAAGAACCAGTTCTTATCGGCGAGGATATCACGGCAATCTTGCATAAGTGGCCTCATGAGAGATCGGCGCATATTGGGTGAGGAAGCTGATCGGAATGCATTAAGCGCTTGCAGAATGGGTCCTTGCACGTCGTCAATGATACAAGAGAATCTGCGTGTATCCGATTCCGGATTATGGGGTGGGAATTGGTTATGAAGGCGGTTTCGGATACTGTTGAGACGCTCTAGTAACTCTCGGTCCAAGTATCCATCGGTCGCACGGTCAAGCTTTTGTACAACATCAACAAAGATGTCCTTCCCGATTATATCGCTTGGGTGGACTTGGATCTTGACCCATGCTAATCTCAGATCCTTCTCGGAGATAGTCGCTAGCATGGATGCGTGTAGAAAGTAATCGAAGACGATCATGCGGGACAACAGGAGTTTTTTGTATTGTCGGTGCGCTATGTCTTCGTTGACTTTGAAATCCTTTTCGGAGACAGCATCTGCCTTGAAGGCATTGGCTGCCTGAATGCGTTCAACGATGAACTGGAAATCTCTGGAACCCAATCGGGCAGTATCTCGGTTGCCAACGAAGTATACGCCCCAATGGCGTACCAATCCTTCCAAAAGGAATCGTGTCTTGCCGGAGCCCGTCGTGTTGACAAGCATTCTACAACGAGTTTGATCGGAATACGGTCAATTGTGGTCATAGCGTGTTGACTTACAAGCATCTGCCGTGAACGAATAGCGGCTCTAAGAGTTCATCGAACACATCGGCATCGTAGCTTCCAAGCTCGTGCAAGAGTAAGCTTGGCCATCCGGCGACCTGGGGCAGACGGAGCTCTTTGAAGAAACTATTATTGTCACTGCCGTCCTGTCCCACTCCCTTCCATAACGAGAAATCTTTTTGACCGAGGATAACTTGGCAGATTACGTCGCGGTAACTCGACAAGTAGTCCCGGATGCTGTTCGACATTGCATGATCACCCTGTTCTTTGACATGAGGAGAACCCGATTCTTCTACGCCATCTACGCCATCATTGATATAATTAGTGTGAAAGCATTGTCTAAAGAGGATTTGAGCGATTACATTTGTAGATTAGGTCCTCCCTATTTGAATAACATTAAAATGGGTAAAGCGAAATTAAACGTGAACAGACCATTTCGGATCGTCCTCACTGCTAACGACAGCGACATGATCATATATATCAGAAGAACTGAGACAAGGATGTCGTAGCAAACTGAACTTTGCTATGGGGTTGTATGGCCAGTCTGGGTGGGAGGATTTGTATTGGAAGGCTGTAGCTCTCACCACTAGTGCGACATCGTCTAGCACTTCCTCGGACATTTGACCGTTTTTTAGACGGTCACGAATTCTAGATATGGTTTCGCTTTCCTGTACGAGTTGCCGAATTCCCATCGAGTGTGCCGATTCTTGGACAGCGACGGATGAAGCAGGATCCGTTTTGGCATGCTTTGGAGAGGGCTGATCGGTGACTGTGAGACTGGCCTCTCGCTTCTTCGAGGGATTCTGGTCGTTTTCCATCACGAATGGAGGGCAGAATGGTAGCGACTCTGAGCTGACAGTGAGAGCAATGGGAGATGATGCAAAAAATATTTGGGCGAACAGAAAGCAAAGTCCCAAGGCGTGGCGGGGTGGTAGAAGGCGACCAACTCTCTGATGAGTCAGCCGTCAGCGAATCACAAGGTCGAATATTTTTTTAAAATATATTATCGAAAGCACAGGTGAAAATCCAAAAGTAAATGTGAGACGGCTCGACCTCCAACTCAGCTGGCGAAGGTAAAATATCATGTTGCCTAAAGTAGATGGCAGTGCTAGATGTCGAAGAGATATACATATAACGATGGTGCCGGGAATTCGGCGACGCAGATACGATGAGCGTAAGGACGAATGACGAATGACGGTGAAAAACTATAGGATGCAGGAAGCGCCAAAGGATGTGGTAGTTTGCGGTGCGCGTGAGGAGAGGATCATGGGAACACCATTGAACATTTCGAACTACCCGTTAGCAGTCAACTGTCCCTCCGCTCCTCCGAGGATCCTCGAAGAACAACGATCACTGGTCGACCACACCGCCTCCAAGAGCCCCCGTTGACCAAGTGCCAAGGATAGAAGAAGGACA